AAATCACATATTTTATATATAACCACAACCAATATAATGTAATTAATATATAAACAAAGTGAATAACCATTCCTAATGTTAGCTTGTTGTTTATTTATATATTTTCTTTACATTTTCACTGTTAGTTTTTATTATGTTAATACAGTTGTTGCATGTTCCACATAACTATGATTCTTTCATAATTTCATAGTGTTTTGTTGTAATTATTCACTTTTTTTTGTTATTTTTAGTTCAATCTACCCAGCCTACCACAGGTAAGTTTGTAACCTACCACAGGTAAGTTTGTATAGGATAACTAGATTATCAAATATAAGAATGTATATCTTGGTTTAATTTATATTATTGTTGATCTTCATTCCTTTTATCAGTTGGTACGGTTAGTTATTTTAAAAGCTAGTACTTTTTAATCTGTAAATAGATTTAATACCAATTTCAAAATCGTCAATTGCAAAATTTATTTTTTTTATTACTTTTTTTACCTTTAGCAACATCTTCATCTGCAATTAGTGGTAAGTTTAGCAATTATTAATTTTTAATTTTTGCATTTCTTGAACATTGCAAATTTATTTTTTATTAAAACTTTTTAGCTCTAGTTCCATCCTCAATTGCATTGAGAAGTAAGCTTAAAAATATTCTTATTGCATCCTTCAAAAAGCCTGTTCATGTATGTATGTATTTCGGATCAATTGCAATATTAATTTTTTATTACACTTTTTTTTTAACTTAGTTCCATCTACATCTGGAATAATTGGTATGTTTACAAAATTTTACCTTTTTCATATGTTTATGCATTTCTTAGCAATCACAATATTTATTTTTATTTCAACTTTTAATAACCTTTAGTTACATCTTCAGCTGCTACAAGTGGTACGTTTATAAACTATTATTTTCTAATATGTGTATGCATAATTTACATGTGTAAAAGTATTTTTTCTAATATGTGCATGCATATCTTATCGATAGCAAGTAAATTGTATTTTTATTTTTAAATTAAATTGTTAAGTTAAATTAAATTTAAATTAAATTTTTATTTTTAAATTAAATTTAAAGTAAATTGTATTTTTATTTTTAAAAAATTTTACCTTTAGTCCCACAACCTCCACAACAAACAACACAACCTTCTGCTGGTAAATTTATGATTCAGAAATGTTGCTGAATGATTATTTAATTCATTATATTTTTATTTATATTCACAAATTAGTACATTTATATTATGTTATCCTTCAAAGTGCAGTAGAAGTAAAAACCCAGAGCAGTATTTAATTTTTTACTTTAATTAACATTTTTTAAGCTATCATTGATTTATTATTTGTTAATTTTATTAATGCAGCCCATCAAATAATTGGTTTGTATTATTTGTTATTTTTTACCATTCAATACTAATGTAGTTACAATTTATTGTCTTTTAGAGCTTACCTATGGTGCCTATAGAAGATATAGGGACCAGCACCCTGGACCGATGAGCAATCGATCATTTTTGCGGTGGGTCCGGTTAGGAGGGAATGATGGTGAGTCATTCAGCTGGGCCTATCATCCTCCTAACAGGGGTGCTGGAAGCTCCAGCAGAAGAGGAAATCGTGGAGGAGGTCGTGGGCGAAGACGGAATGGTGGCGGCCTTGTTGTGAATGGTGGCATCCACTATTACTAGGCGCCACCACTCCTTTACTTTTTTTTTAAATAAATATATAACATTATCAAGTTTGTTTTCCATTTTGTCCGAAATTTTGCAATTATTAACATTTGATTTATTTATTTTAAATCTTTCACAAAATGGTTTAAAAGCAAAGCATTGACAGATGTAGTAGTTTGCAAGGGACCTGTTTTGTATGTTTTCAATGTAATTAAAAGTTTTAGGATTTTTTGAGGTTTTGAAATTTTGAGGTTTTCTCATAGCCTATATTAAATGCAGTTTCAAATTTATATGTAATGTTTTATTGAGTTGATAAATGTTAAATATCTTTTCCATACCTAATTACTGTTCTTTATTTTGTTTGGTTTATATACTTTTTTTTTGAGTTAAGAATATTAATTGGTTTTAAACCAGTTTAATTGTTTGATTTTAAACCAGGTTAACTTATGTTTACAGTTCCTAAATATTATAATTACGTAACCATTACTTGTTTGCAGAAGGTATGTATGAGATTTTTTTTTACATGTTGTATTATAATGCTATTAATTATTAACAAATTTTTATATATTGTTTGTTTACTTTTCAAAAATTTAAATTAAAAATATGGTATATTAACTCTTTGTATATATATATATATATATATATATATATATATATATATAATATATATATATATATATATATATATATATATATATATATATATAGGTTCAAAAAAAAGTGGAGTTATGTTTGCGGATACAGTAAAAAAAGATTGATCTTACATATAGTGCAGAAGGGGATATCACCACGGAGGAGGGCGTAGGCGAAGAAAGAATGGTAGCAGTTGAAGAAGAAGTTTTTTGTATTAAAAATATATATTTAACATTATCAAGTTTGTTTTCCATGCTGTCTTAATTTTTACAATTATTAAAGTATAATTTTTTTTCAAAATAATTTAAAAATGAAACACTGACAAGTGAACTAGTTTGTAAGAAAAATATTTTTTTTCAATGTCTTTAAAAATTGTAGTATAAAAATTATTAAAGTTGTAACTATAAATAGTTTTCATGTTTTATGTACTAAAAGAATTTTTGAAGGATTTTCTAGCCCATAATAAATATAATAAATATATGTGTAACTTTCAATAGTTGATAAATGTTAAGAGTCTTTTGCATTTGTACTATTTATATTATATGTACTAAAAGAATTTTTGAAGGATATTGTAGCCCATAATAAATATAATAAATATATGTGTAACTTTCAAAAGTTTATAAATGTTAAGAGTTTTATACATTTTTACTATTTATATTTTAGTTTATTGAAACTGTTTCTTTGACAATCATTAATCTTAAACTTGTTTGGCTTATGTTTACAGTTCCTAAAAATTATATTAGCATTGTTAATATTGAAATACTTCTTCCTTGCAACTTTTGTGAGGTATGAACGAGATTTTTTAATTATATTTTATTTAATACATTTGTTTACATGTTGCATTATAATGTTATGGAATGTTAACAAATTATTATATGTTATTGATTTACCTTTTAAGAAATTTAATTAAAATTATAATATAGTAACGCTCAATATACATTTTAAAGGAATTATGGGTCCAAAAAGGAGTGGATGTGTGTTGCAGGATAGAGTGAAAAAGTATTTAGCTGTAAACTTCACTTTGCATGACAAACTACACACACACTGTAAAAATGGACATTTAATTTTATTATTCACTAACAACAATGAGTCATATGTTAAAACTCTTAAACAAGTAGATGAGTTATTTTGTTTGAACACTACTAAACATCAACTCTATAATGTTATTAACACTTCAAAAAAATTGACTAGAAATTATAAAAGGGATTGTACAAGTTTTATTGAATTTTGTAATCAGCCCTTTACACACCACACACCAAGCGTGTCAATGAGACAGGCAATGCATCTTGAACAGCGTAGTTCATTGGTCACAGTTGAAAAGTCTTCTGTTCTGTCATCCCATGAACATAATTCTATTTTACCTTCAGTTATTAGAGAACCTGAAAATTCCATTGAAAATGATACAAGAATGCATACATCAAGAGTACAGCTAACCCCTAAAAAAGCAAAACTCATCACCAGGTTATCGTATTTATCTTCACAGTTAGTTAGCTCAACCAGAGAACACAGGAAAAAAATAGCAAAAGTTAAATTGAAATATAATAGCATGCCATATAAGCTAAAAATATTAAAAAAAAATATCAAAAGAAAAGAAGATATTATTAAAGCTTTGAGGACAGAAGTTAGAGAGTTAAAAAAAAATTAATACATATTATTACAGCAAGTTAATTCGCAATCTTAAAGCGAAAACAAAGGCATTGAAAATAAAAGAAAAAAAAAATTTAATGCAAATTAAAGTAAGACATAAAACTGATGTTGATGCAAATAAAGTGTTCATTGCTCAATTAGAAAATGACATGTTACAAATAAAAGAGGGAAAAATTCCATATGTTAATATGTCAGAAGACGATAAGAGTTACCCTTTAAAAATGAGGATGATAATTTATAGCATGTTATTAGCTAATGTTCCAACTGGTAACATCAGAACCCTAATTTCTAAAATTGGCCAATATTTGGGTGTTAACTTTATGGATATTCCTCATCGTTGTACTATTGAGCAAATGGCTCGTGAGCTTGGCAGTATAGCAGAACTGCAAGCAGCAGAATGGGCTATGAGTAATTCTTATCTTACTCTTGGGTTTGATGCAACAACACAAGAAGGTGTTCATATCAACACTGTTCATCTAACATCTAACAAGAGCTGCCAGGTCATTGCTCTGGACCAGTTACCAGGTGGAACAGCTCTTGATTATGAAAATCATATATGTGGTGTAGTAGATCATTTAGCTTTTATTTATTCAGACTTTCACTTGATTACATTTAATGAATGCCGTCGTACAATCATTTCAAATATTTCCAACACAATGTCAGACAGAGTATCAGTTAACCATCTTACTATTTCCAAACTTTGTAATACCTGGGGGAAGAATTTGAATGAGCTTAATTGTCACTTGCACCCTTTAGACACAATTGCCATTTCATGTCGCGAAGCCTTGAAATCTCTAGAATTGGAACCTTGCAAATTGTTTGGATATGATTGTATGGCAGTCAAAATTGTGCTAGCAATGAACAAGATGAGGTTTAAGGATGGCAAAGGTGACCCACAGGGATTTGTTAATTTTTTAGACAATAATGAACTACCGCGAGGTATTATTCCACGGTATCGTGGAAATTGTCTGCACATTCTTTTTCATACTTGTTTTATTTTTATGAAACACTATACTGCTTTTCTACTTTATCTGACCACTGGAACAGTAAAATGTTTCAGTTTACAACCAATTCTGCGAGAAGCCTTTTGTAATGCAACTGCTATAAAACAAATGGGAGTGCTTGCACTATTTAGTAAACTTCTCAGTGGACCATGGATGACTAAGTTTTATGTATCACCTGATGATGCAAGTTTTGATCATGTCACTGGTATCCAGGTAGTAAAAGATGTTCTAAAAGAAGTTACTAATTGCAAGTCTGATCCAGCTGCACTATTTTGCAGAGAAATTGATTTTTTTGGGAAAACCCTTGTCCCAAATATTTTACAATCTATTACAACTTTATGCCCCATTGATGAACAGCTTGTTAAAATGACGTCTGCTTGTCTTAATGCAGTTGAAGAAGTCTTGACTCGTCAATATAAGAGATATTTCTCCCTTTCCATTTCAGCAGAACTCAAAAAGGAGACAGTAAGTGCAAGGCTTCACAATATAGATAGTGAAGAATTAATTGGTATGTTTGGTGATGCCAAAGGACGTAGCCCTAATGCAACAATTTGTTATATATCTAGCAAATTACGATCCAAAAAGAATAGGACTATAGATTATCTTGAGAATCTTGAGAAGTTTTCTAGGGAAAAGGTGATTAAATGGTCTATTTACATGGCACGTAAAAAAAGAATCAAAAATCGACGACTACTATGTAATGAAGTTCGAGCAGAGATTACTGGTAGACAGGCGTTCAAGCGCCAAAAAATGGACGAAAAACAAAAAAGAAAGTTAGAGCGTGAGCTGTGTTTATTAACTACCAGTGAAATGATGCATAAATATAAACACTTGTCTGCGAAGCAACTTGAAAATTTAGATGATGTTATGTCAGAAAGAATTGTTGGCAGAAAACTTGGTCATGAGTGGTATGATGCTGACTGTTCGAAATCTGTCATTTATGATGGTAGAGTTGAAAAAGTAAACAAGAGCCAACAAGACAAAATATACACTATTTCTTACTGGAAAAAAGATGAAACTGATCTTGAAGCTGTTGAATATAAGATGAAAAAAATACAGCTTGCAGCTGATGTTATAACAGGAGAATTAATATTTTCTTAAACTAAATATGAAAATAATTTAAATTATATATAATTATATTTATATAATTAGAGATTAACAAAGAAGTACCGCAAGTTGTGTAGCTTGCAAATATGGTACAGCAAGTTGTGTAGTTTGCAAAAGGAGTACCGCAAGTTGTTTAGCTTGCAAATATGGTACAGCAAGTTGTGTAGCTTGCAAATATGGTACAGCAAGTTGTGTAGCTTGCAAAAGGAGTACCGCAAGTTGTTTAGCTTGCAAATATGGTACAGCAAGTTGTGTAGCTTGCAAAAGATGTACCGCAAGTTGTGTAGCTTGCAAATATGGTACAGCAAGTTGTGTAGCTTGCAAAAGGAGTACTGCAAGTTGTGTAGCTTGCAAATATGGTACAGCAAGTTGTGTAGCTTGCAAAAAGAGTACCGCAAGTTGTGTAGCTTGCAAATATGGTACAGCAAGTTGTGTAGCTTGCAAAAAGAGTACCGCAAGTTGTGTAGCTTGCAAATATGGTACAGCAAGTTGTGTAGCTTGCAAAAGGAGTACCGCAAGTTGTGTAGCTTGCAAATATGGTACAGCAAGTTGTGTAGCTTGCAAAAGGAGTACTGCAAGTTGTGTAGCTTGCAAATATGGTACAGCAAGTTGTGTAGCTTGCAAAAAGAGTACCGCAAGTTGTTTAGCTTGCAAATATGGTACAGCAAGTTGTGTAGCTTGCAAAATTTTTTTGATAGACGGCTCTGGCTTACCTTCTCGTGGTGTCTATTGTTAAAAATGATTTATTTAGTTTCATTATTGGAATTTTAAATAATATCATTTACTAAAAGCCAAGACATAAATTCTATAATTTGTATTTTAAAACTTTTTAAAATATAAGTTTCAAAACTGTGGTTAATTTTTAGGGTGGATACTCCAACCTGCATCTTGTAATGAGGTAAGATTATTAAAGTTATGTTTCGCTTTTTACACAATTTAAAGACATTTTTGAAATTTTTATTGACATTTTTTTAAAGTTTAAATAAGAAGAGGTGGGGAGGGGGGAACGTTGGGCGTGGCACATACCCCTCCCCTCACTAACATGGTAAAATAATCTTAAATACTAATTTCTCTTTTTAAATAAACTCAGTTTAAAACCATTTTTTAAATATCTTTTAAAATTTTTTTTAGGTTGGAGAAGACTGAGAGGAAGGGGGGGGGAGGGGCGTTAAGCTTGGCATCGTTCCGCCCCTAATGTCAATTTATGCACCACTTGTATATTCTGTTAAGTAAAAAAATATAATTTAAAGTCTTTAACACAAAATATAATCAGTGTTTTTTAGGCTCAAATATTTATAAGATGGTAACATTTCACTACAAGGGTGTTAAAACGTAACAAATACATCCACCCTTTAATCTAAAATAGACCAATAATATTTGGAAAAGTAATGGAAGCAAATTAGAACAACTTTTTGTGTATAAAGATAACAAATTTTATCAGCAAAATACTCTTTCTTGTGAAAAACTTGCATTTTTTTA